CGGGCTCTGGCCTCGCCCTCCCTTCGACAGTCTCTCGGCCACTTCCGTCCCCGGAACGTCCCCCGCCCGCGGGCGGCGCCCTGGGCCCGCGCTCTATGGTCGCGGGGACTGCAGGAAGCTGCTCTGGCCCCCGCTATCGATGCTCGGGAGCCCGCCGAGGACGACAGCCCCTCCCCGGCAGGAAACAGGGTGCGGCGCAATCCGGAGCGAGCGCCCGCCTGACGCCAGAGTTCCCTTTTAGATGCTCATTCTTCCTCTTTCTAGCTTGGGGTGAAGGCGGAGCCGGACCCCCAGAATCCCCGCCCTCCGGGTGCGAGTCGGCGGCTGGGACGGCCCCTGTATTTGCATGGCCCCTGGGACGTGGCGCGGCTCCGAGGCCACTTCCGAGCTGGAAGGAACTCGAAGTCCCAAGATGCCGTGAGGCTCGGGCGCGTCACTTCTGTTGCGTTGGAGGCTGAGGAGAATCGAGTCAGGGAGGCTGGTGCGGCTTGAGAGCGGCGGAAAGCCCCCAGCGGGGAAGCCTGCGGCAAAGCCGACTGGGGTCCTGCCTGGGGTTCGGAAGTTGGAGCCGGTGGCGGGGTGAACCCTGCTTCTGCCCATCCTTTCTGTAGATGTCCCAGATGGACCTGGCGTTGGACCCCGGTGACCAGGACCTGCTAGGTTTCCTGCTAGAGGAGAGCGGAGGTTTGGGAACGGCGCCCGACGAGGCCGTGGAGGACCCGCTAGATTGGGAGCTGCTGCTTTCTGACGTGGGTGACGGTTCTGAGTGGGAGAAGCGTGGGACGTCCATGTGACCTGGGGACGGTGATAGGTCAAGGCCTGTTCATCTGAACCCTGTGCAGGTACCGAGCGACTGGGAGGCGGACGATTTGCTGAGCTCCCTGCTGAGTCCCCCAGCGCTGTTGAACGTTCTCAGCTCCTCCAGCCCCTGTCCTGCCCTCCATGATCACTCCTACTCCCTCCCACAGGAACATGTCTCTGTGGATCTAGGTGAGCCTGAAATCAGTGAAGTCTGGAGGAAGGAGAGGACTTAAGGGCCTGGCTATTCATACTTTCCCTTTTCCAGAGAGCAGGAGCTGTGGAAAAGAGAGGACCCAGATGACTCCACTGCATACAAAGGAACCGGCAGAGCAGGTACTTGACTCAATCTTTGGGAAGATTATTCTCACATTGCACAGGTAGGGGTAGGATTATCCCAGTCCTCTCTGATGTCTCCCTACAAATCTGCTGCCCACTTCCTCTTAACCCTAGGAGATGGCTAGGCTGATACTGACAGATGAGGAGAAGAAGCTACTGGAGAAGGAAGGGCTTATTCTGCCCACGTTACTTCCTCTCACTAAGGTAAGACTCCCATTAGTGGAGCAAAGGCTGGAGAGAGATTGTGAGATCAATAGGCCAGTTCTGTATTTTTGTATGTGTTCTGTTAATTTAATTAAATTAATTAATTAATTTTTTTTGAGTTGGAGTCTCACTCTGTCGCCCAGACTGGAGTGCAGTGGCCGCTCCCGGCCACCGCAGCCTTGCCTGCTGGGCTCCGGCGATCCTTCCGCCTCAGCCTTCAGAGTAGCCGGAATTACAGGCATGCGCTACCACGCCCGGCTGATTTTTTGATTTATTGTAGAGATGAGGTCTCGCTGCCCAGGAGGGTCTCGAACCCTCGGGCTCAGGCAATCCACTCACCTCAGCCTCCCAAAGGCGCGGGATTACAGGCTGAGCCACCAAGCCCGGCTTCTGTTAATTTTATATCAATAGCTTGGAAAAGGACTGAGGTGAGAAATTTAGCAAATTTGTTGTTAATAGGAAGTTGAGACAGGTAGTTAACAGGCTAGATGCAAGGGTGGATCCTGGCTTTTATGAAGCTTGTACAAATTTTGGTTGTTCCTTTTAAGAAAAAAATAATTAAAAATTACCAGTGCAATATTTGTGTAGGGCCTTGGTAAGAACTATGCAAGTGAAGGGCCCTGACACTTCGTTGTTTCCATGGTAATCTACCTCTTGCCGAATGGTAGAATTGTTTTAGAGATGTCAACAGGGCTGGACTAAGCTGTGTAACAAGAATAAATGTAAAATCCTGAGTTTTAAGTTTCAAGCAACAAGAGACAACTTCACAAGCAAGCAGAATATCATGATACTATGATGAAATCAACATTCTTTAACAGAAAGGTTACAGGAATTTTAATTTCTTAAAAGTACAAGATGAGTCATGAGTGTGATACAGCTACTAGGAAACTGAATGGGATTTGGAAACTGTAGTAATAGGAGTTTTGTCTCTAGAAGTTAGTGACTTATCTTGCTTTCCTTTATACTGGCTAGAGCACATCTTAGAGTCCATTTTGAGCCCCTATCTCTGATATGTACTAAGAGGATGCAGTCTATCCTGAAGATGATGAATCAGGAATTTTGTCCAGGATTTTTCTTTTAACTGAGGAAATACCAGGTGCTATAAAATAGCTAAGCAGAGTTTACTCTATCTGGCCCCAGAAGTACTAGTTAAGTCCAATGAATAAAAATTATGAGGAGGAAGATGTTGGTTTAGTTAAGGAAGTTTTTTGGGTTTTTTTTCCTAAATGAATAACATTGTTTAAAATAGTCTGGCTTGTGAGGGTGTTAACACTTGGTTCTTGGAGGTGTTCAGACAGAAGCTGAATGACTGCTGGTTGTAGATGGGATTCCTGCATTGGGAAGAATATTGATATCAGTTGCCTTTTTTTTTGAGTTTGAGTTTCACTCTGTCACCCAGGCGGAAGTGCAGTGGCACACTCATGGCCACTGTTGTCTTGTCCTGCTGTGCTCAGGTGGTCCTTTCGTCTCAGCCTTCCAAGTAGCTGGAACTACAGGCATGTACCACCATACTAATTTTTAATTTATTGTAGAGATGAGTTCTCACCGAATTGTCCAGGCTGGTCTCAAACCCCTGGCCTCAGGCAGTCCTCTTGCCTCCACCTCCCAAAGTGCTAGGATTACAGGTGTGAGCCACTGTGCCTGGCTCAGTTGCCTTTCGACACTTTGGTCTAAGGTTCCTCTGATGATACCCCTTTCCCTGTCTTTTCTCAGATGGAGGAACAAGTTCTGAAACGAGTACGGAGGAAGATTAGAAACAAAAAGTCTGCTCAAGAGAGCCGTAGGAAGAAGAAGGTGTATGTTGGGGGTTTAGAAAGCAGGTATGAAAGGGAGAGGGATTTGGGTGGGCAAAGTAGAAATAGTTGGAAGTATCAGGTTTCTGAAGGAGGATACAGGCTGTATCTCCATATCCTTATTTCTCCCAGGGTCTTGAAATACACAGCCCAGAATCTGGAGCTTCAGAACAAAGTACAGTTCCTGGAGGAACAGAATTTGTAAGCAACCTTCCAAAACATTATCTACCTCTGCCCCCTATTTAATGCTTTCTCATTCTTTTCCCTATCCTACACTTGATTTCTAACTGGGCAGCTCCCAAATACAAGGTCTGTTGCTTGGCATTTCCTGGGTCTCTGATTCCAAAAAGCTCACAGTAATGAGGAATACTGGTGACTAAGGATAAGTACCAAGAAAGAGAAGGGGGGAGGAAGAAAGACCTCATGGGGCAGTTGGTATTAAATAGTAGTTAGGATTCTAGGGAATGGGGTTGGGCAGGGAAAACATTCTGACAAAGAGAATACAACATAGTCCTCTTTGGCTGGAACCCTATCAGGACTGGCTGGGCAGAAGGTAGAGAACATAGAGAATGACTGGTGAGAATAATTGGTGTAGCCACTTGGCATAGGCAGTGGAGAACTACTGAAAATATCTGCAATGGAGTTTAAGTCAGGACAGAGTTTTTTGTCTTAGTGAATAACTTCAGGCATTTTGTCCAGAAAAATGAAAAGATGAAAAGAGAGAAGATCCAGTGCAGATGGAAGAGGTAGCCTTAAACAGGAGAGTTTTATTGTGTCTCAGGCCCAGGGGGTGCTCACCACTGCCCCTTTCTTTTTCTAGGTCCCTTATAGATCAGTTGAGGAAACTTCAGGCCATGATAATTGAGATATCAAACAAAACCAGCAACAGCAGCACCTGTGTCCTGGTGAGGATGGCGGTTGGAGGAGAGAACCTTTTCTCAGGCAGTGAGGACCGGGGTGCAAACCAGAACCCTTCTTCAACTCTATTTTCCTGTTCTCTAGGTCCTGTTGTTCTCCTTCTGTCTCCTCCTTGTACCTGCTATGTATTCTGACACAAGGGGGAGCCTGCCAGCTGAGCATGGAGGTAAGAGGCTTAGGAATACCTCTAAAGCATGGGCTAGGGGAGAGGCCTGGTTGACCTCTGAAGATTCTGTCTCCTCAGTGTTGTCCCGTCAACTTCGTGCTGTCCCCAGTGAGGATGCTCACCAGCTGGAGCTGCCTGCCTTGCAGTCAGAGGTGCCAAAGGACAGCACACCCCAGTTGCTGGACAGTTCAGCTCATGTTCTTCAGGCTTCTGGCAACTGCTTCTGCCTATTGTACTACATGCCTCAGGATGCTAGTGCAGAGTCTCCCCTGAAATGGTCATTCCCTGATCTCTTTTCAGAGACCCCCTGCCCAGGTTCCACCCTTCTCTTGCAAGCAAATCTCACGCAAAACGGGGTATGGCTTCCTACCCACGGCCCCTCATCTGTCATCTTGCAGGATGGATACTCAGGTTAGATGTGAGGATATGGGGGTATCATAGCAAGAGCCTGAGGGGGGTAGGTCCCGTCTATGTCCAAATAAAAAGGAGTGGGAGGGGGCTGACCTTAACTCCTGTGTCCTGTGAAGAAGACTGAGGGCTCAAACACACCACACTTACTGGCTTTCTGGGTCTTTTATTTGTACCCATGTTTGTCACCCCATGAATGCATCTGGGGAAATCAACTGACCCCCCGAACATTTCATGTAGTGAAAGAAGGGGTGAGGAAATAAATAAATAAGTGATTCTGATGCCTGGGTCACCCTCAACCCCCCTTTACTGGCACAGTTGGATGGGAAGAAGGGAAGGGGTATGATTGTCCTGATGGCTCAGGGCTGCAGGAAATTGGGGGAAAGGAGGAGAGGTCAGGCTGGAGGCTGGACTGTTAGTGTCTCCTTCCTGTGGTTCAGAGGGCTCACTCTGGGTTCAGGTTTGCCATGGCTTCCTTTGGTCCAAATGTAGGCCCTGTGCTTAGTCCTGTGCCCTGTTCGACTACTAGCCATGAAGTCTTTTTGCACTGCTGCTGTTGTAGGGCCAGCTGCATGGCCCAGATGCTTAGTGGCCGCATGTAGGCCAGTGAGCGGAACACCCGCTGCTGGCAGTATGCCTCTGGGGTCTGGAAGGCCAGGCCCAGGCGCTCCCACACGGTACGGTAGCAACCTTCAGCTGTACGAAAGCCCTCCCAAGTCAGGCCCTGTAGGGAGAGATGACAGTCATACATATAACTTGTTACCCCCTGAACAGCCACGTCAACTGGGAAGAAGCAAATAGTAATAGTAGAGTCTCTGCCCTCAGGGAGTTCCCAGCTAGTAGAGGAGATAAACTTGACCCATAGCCAGAAGCTTGAAGGCAGGAGCTAGAGTGCACACCAGGGAAAAGCAGGAGGCTTTATGGATAAGATGGCATTGGGTTATGCCTTGTAGAAGTTTGGTGGCTGAGAAGGTTTTCTGGGCCAAAGTACAGATGGTGGAGAGAGGGGAAAAGGGAGTACATTACCTCTTGGATCATAGTGGCTGCTAGCGCATAGACCACACCCACCCAGACTTCATCAGACTGTACACTGGATCTATCAGGGACACCATGGGGCTGCATCCCATTGACGGCCCCCATGGCCCCTCCTGCAAAGGCCTGGACGTTGAGCTCGAAGATAGTTTTTAGAGCACGGACAACATGTGGGCTAGGAAACACCTAGAGAGGCAAGGGCAGGAACATGGTCTCAAATACTTGCTATCTCCAGGGAAAACCCATTTTTCTCTGTGGCTTCTCTTTCTAGTCTCTTACCTCAGTGTCTCCTTCTCCTAGGCCACAGGCCTTCAAGAACCACTGTCCAGCACACTGGTCAGACATAATACTACGAGACTGAGGCTGGGTACTGCTGTCATAGTTGTAATAGCGACCTAGAGTAGAGGAAGGGCAAAGTAAAGTTCCTGGTATCCCCACAGCTGCCATAGACTCTTTAGGTTCCCCCAACTCACCATTCCATAGCAGTCTCTCATAGGCTTCTTGGCCCCTGCTAAGGATGGAGGAAAACTTATCCCGGATGTCCTGTGCCCCACACAAAGCAGCCATCTGGACCATCACAGCCACAGCTGCCAGCCACAGGCCTCCACAGTAAGCACTGAACAGGGACATGGGTTTGGGGGTCAGACCGGCAGCTCCAGCTGCTCCATGCAGTATAATATACAATGAATCATTCTTTGAGTCGAGGTCTTGCTCCTGCTCAGTAGCATGATCACAGCTCACTGCAGCCTCCACCTCCCTAGTAGTTGAGACTATAGGTACATGCCACCACACCCCGCTAATTTTTTGTAGAGATGAGTACTTGCTATGTTGACTAGACTAGTCTTAAACTCCTAGACTCAAGCAATCCTCCTGCCTTGGCTTCCCAAAATGTTGGGATTACAGGCACGAGCTACCATGCTAAGCCAACTCATTCTCTCTCGAGCCCTATAATCCCTTGGTGCTCAGTTCCCCAACTTGGGCCTCCTGGAAACCCCTACCCAACCTGGGGCCTGTGGTGACCCATCCATCATAGGTCTGGTCTGCATAGCCTCCATTCTCAATGAGTCCATCGTGGTCCTTATCAAACTTCATTTCAGACTCCATCACAGCCTAGAGAGGAACCAAGATACTGAAGACCTAAGTACCAAGGAAAGACAACAGCCAGCTGGGCTCTCCTCAGACACCAGCCATGCCCCTGGCACACTGGCCACTGCATATGCATCTCTTACTAGACACACAGGCCACATGTCCTTCAGGAAACCTCGGTCACCCGTTAGGTAATAGTCCCGATACACCTGCAGCACAAACTTCAGGTTCAGGTCTTTCCAGTCAGCAGTATCATGGATCAAATATGCATTGACTCGGAGCCATGGCTCATCATCTGTGGGAGGGGAGGGGACCAGGTTCGTTTCCATTGATGGATAAGGTAGAGAGTGCAAAAACTGAGGGAGTGAAGCAGATCTTGACGTGGATATTTACCTGGGTCCCCAATATCATGGGGTATGACATTCCTCCTTTTCACAGGTGCCATCACCCCACTCATCAGGTACCGTCGTCGTGTCAGGTCCTCCCTGAGAGTGGCTAGAGCTGGGGGAGCAGACACACAAGGGAAGGCAGGGAATGGGCAGGCTTGGAGTGGGGCACAGAGGTGTGTGTGTGACCCCGGAGGGGAACCAATAAGCAGGATGTAGATGTTTGAGGGGAAGGGGAGGAAGAGACAATTGAAGGACAATAAAGGTTCAGGGGTACAGGGAGCTAAGAGGGCAGAAGCAGCATGAAAAGGACCCTCACCCATGTCGTACTGCAGGCTGAGCTCAAGTTTGGGCCAGAGCATGACGAGAGCAAAGGAAGCATAAAAGTGGACATCATATGTGTTGTACATGCGATACTCGTGGCCTGGAGGAATGAGGAAGACACACTGTTGCCAGAGTTTCTGCTTCCCTTTCATATCTTCTCCCTAGCTTGTCCTCTAGAGTTGGAGTGGGGGCACTGACACCAGTCCACACCCACCACTTATTTCCTCACCCCCACCAATAACCCGCAAAGTCCATCATCCTGCCTTGAGGTAGTACGACCTGACCTCGGGTATGGCCCACCCACCGGCAACCCATACCCTCAAGGTAGCCAAATCGACCGTAGTCCTGTAGGATCGGGCGGAGCTGACACATGCTCTCTCCCAGCTCCTCTGACAGAGAGCCCTCACGAACTTCCAGCCATACTGTGCCTCCGTCAGCCAGGAAGTAGAGTTCATTGAACAGCGCGGATTTGTACCAGGCAGGCAAGGATCTGGAGAGTCAGGAGGAGGGAGTGGTTTAGTGAGTGGACCCCAGGACAGGGAGGATTCGGGGGTTCAGCAGAGTAGGAACACCAAATGAATCCCAGTGCGTCTCTGCTGACTTTGGTGGTTGGAGAATGAATCAAGGAGTCCCATTTGGAATGTGAGTACCTGGGAGAAAGGCAGGAGATGGGCCCCACTGGTACCTGTCATCCAATACTGGGCACTGCCAAGCTGAGATCCTCTCTTCCCAGTCTGCGTATCGGCACAGTGCATAGTGGCTAAGGGCAGGGGCTGCATCACCATCCTGGCCAAAGAACCTTGTGTACCGCCTGGAGTGGGAAGGAAGGGAAAGATAACACTAGCTCCAGGTCAGAGCCCCAGAGCCTTGGATCCCTATATCTTCTTGGTCCCCTCACCTGTAGTGTGTTTGGCCCTTAGCACCAAACATGATCTTGGGCATGTCCCAAGCCAGTGAAAACTCTAAGCGGCACTGGCCTCGAGGTGGCAGCTTGCCAGAAACACATACAGCCCCAGCAACGCCTACTCCTTTCTGTGTGGGGGTGCTTTGGCCTAAGAGAAGCACAAGAGGAATCAGCACAGGCATCCCCTTCAGAGACAGAAATCCCTAACATGGGAACAGGCCTATTCATTACCAGCCCTCCCACCGTGGTCCCAAGACAGGGACAATCTTCCCACCACCTCCCTATCAGACCCCCCATCACCAGCGGGAGAGTCCAGCTGTCCATCCTGAAGTAGATCCTGCCACACCTGCTGCCCAGTGCTGTCAGGGTCAAAGGCTGTGAGGTGGGTTACCGTTGTATCTGCCTGTGAAGAGGCCAAAGACTCTGTGAGGGCAGGCTCTCCAAGTATGCTGGATCCTAACTAGCTCTCCAGCTCCTCTTTTACATATTCTCACCTCTAAGTTCCAGAGGCTTAAGGGCTATGATGAGGGTGGGACTTAAGCATTGAAATGAAGAGACCATGGTAGGGTGGAGGTGGGTTCAGAGGCTAGGCTGAGGGTAAGGGTATAGGACAGGCGCTTCATTACCGTGAGTCGTGCAGCCACAGCCATCGTGTAGGGATTTGGAAGGGTTGGATGATGCAGCAGCAGCCCCTGTACAGTCTCTCCATCACGCTCCAGACAGAAGGGCTCATTCCACAACCCCCCTGGGATATCGTCGCCACCCCCTAGTCCATTCCTCATGGAGAACATGATGGACACATCCAGAGCTTCATCCCCTTCATTTTCCACATCCCACACAAAGACTCCTACAGGCAGGCAGCTGTCCTGGGGGCAAAAGATTGGACTCAGATGGTCTCAGTATAGCCCTCCTGGCCTCACTCTCTAGGATCAGTCCTAGACACAGAAGACCTGACTGAAATACTCCCCAGTGTACTCTTCAGTTGTCCACCTACACCTCCCCATATTCCTGAGCTGCCTACCAAGGAATATAGAAGATCAGAACCAGCTGGGAGGTGGTCCTGGAAAGCCAGTGTGATGTTCATGGCTCCACCCTCCTGCCTTTCACAGGTCATGCAATTTCCAGAATTTCATAGATGCAGATCCCAGGGAAGGGAAGGCAGGGAGGAAACAGAAGGTGGGGCCTCACCTGGTAGTCATGGGGCAAGATGGGTGTGATCTGGCGGCAGGTGAGGGTGACACTCTGGCCAGGAAGCTGATAGACAGTCCAGGCTCGGGGATAGAGGGCGTGGTAGAAAGCAAAGTACCCACATAGGCCCCAGTTCCAGCTGCGTAGGATACTTGGGCGCTCCAGGGACAGGACTTGCTGGTATACAGTCTGCCCTTCCCGACGCAGGCACACTGTGAACTTAATCAAGAGGGCAGATAGGCTGCAACGGGGTAACCCACAGGCACCACAAAGTCTCCCTTCCCTCATAGCAGCTCTTCCCCTTCCAGAGCCTGGGATTGTTACCACTGCACCACCAGCTACAAGTCACGCCCCAAGCCTTTCCCTCAGGCCCAGTGAGTCACCACCAAGTCCTGCTGATTCCCCCTCCACCTACTTCCCAGGCTTCCTCTCCCTTCTCCACTGCTACAGTTTTAGTGCCCTAATCTAGGCTCATACCATCTGTTTTTTCTCTGCCCCTTCTCATCTGGGTAGCAAGTTTCTTATACACAAGTCAAGATATGCCAGTCCCTGCTTATAATGTTTCAGTCAGTCTCTGTGGCTCTCAGGCTCAAGTTCAAACTCTTTTTACCTGGCTCTTTTTTTTTTTTTTGAGTTGGAGTCTCACTCTGTCACCTAGACTGGAGTGCAGTGGCCGCTCCCGGCCACCGTAGCCTTGACCTGCTGGGCTCCAACGATCCTTCCGCCTCAGCCTTCCAAGTAGCCGTAATTACAGGCATGAGCTACCACACCCAGATGACTTTTTGATTTATTGTCGAGATGAGGTCTCGCTGCCCAAGCAGGTCTCGAACCTGCGGGCTCAGGCAATCCACTCACCTCAGCCTCCCAAAGGCGCGGGATAACAGGCTGAGCCACCGAGCCTGGCCTTTTTTTTTTTGAGTTGGAGTCTCATTCTGTTGCCTAGGCTGGAGTCCAGTGGCATGTTCATAGCCACCCCAGCATCGACCTGCTGGGCTCCAGCGATCCTTCCACCTCAGCCTTCCAAGTAGCCGCAACTATAGGCATGTGCTATCATGCTTGGCTGCTTGGCTAATTTTTGATTTATTGTAGAGACGAGGTCTCGCCAAGTTGCCTGGGTTGGCTTTGAACCTGTGGACTCCCAAAGTGCTGGGATTACAGGCTGAGCCACCGAGCCTAGCTGCCTACCTGGATTTTAAGGCCCTTCTTGATCTGGCCTCTCCTTGTCTATCAGACTCATTACCTGTTCAAGCACCTATATTCTGCTCATAGAAAATAATGTTCCTTGAGCACACTACACTCCCTCCTCCATACCTTTGCTCATGCTCACTTTTCTATCCAGTGAAATCCCTCATCCTTCAAATGCCATCTCCTCTTCTTCCTCCTCCAGTAGTGAGTCATTCTGTATGTCCCCCTGCCCCTCTATCCTAGCATTTGGTATATTATATTTATTTGCTATTCTGTTTCCCTGACTGCCCCATGGATTCTTTTGAGGGTAGGGACACTTTGTAGTTCACTGATGTACCCCTCTCCAGAGATGATTGGCATATGTGTGGAAGGAAAGAACAAAATCTGCAGCACTGTCCCCTTTTTCCCAGTACATTATCTGTCCTTCTCACTTTGGCACTGATGTGGTCTTACAATCTCCATTTCCTCGAAGGCTTATTTTCTCAGTAAACAATTTAAGCTCCTGGAGGGTAGGAGCTATGAGAGAGTAATATCTCTTCCTTTGATTCAAACTATGCCTGATATTTCTACTGTATACAGTTGGCTCTCTGTGGGTTCTGCATCCATGGATTCAACCAACTGCACACTGAAAATATTTAGGACAAAAAAATTGCATCCATACTGAATATGCAGACTTTTTTCTTGTACAGTGTAATAACAATTTACATAACATTCACATTGTATTAGGTAATCTAGGGATGATTTAAAGCATACAGGAGGATGTGCACAGGTTATCTGCTAATACAATACCATTTCTTATCGGGGACTTGACATCCTCAGATTATAGAATCTGCAGGAGGTCCTGGAACCAACCCCCCTTGGATACCAAGGGACAACTATATAAAATAATTTTTCATTTTTTGTAATAGTACATAATGGTTAAGATCACAGCTCGTCCCACAAAGAGACCTGAGTTCTGAATCCCAACCTTTCCATTTACCAACCTTGTGACCTTGGGCACGTTACTAAACCTCTCTGGAACTTAGTTTCCTCATCTGTAAAATGAGCATAATAATGGCACTTACCTTGAAGGATTGTTTTTAATGTTAAATATGTTATACAAAAAGCCTAGCACAGTGCCTAGCACATGTTAAGCATGCAATAATTACTTTACAGAGTCACAATGCTGGAAGCCATTCCCCTAATACCTAAGGGATGAGGCAGAGAGGAATCTTGGGGCATTGGACAGGGCCAGTAAATCTGAACTGGGAAGGGCATTGTCATTAATTGGAATAAAGATCTGCTAGTCATTTCTCCTTGACAATGAGCTGAAAGCTGGAGGCATCCCTCAGGAAGGAAAGAGGAACTTGGTAGACAACTCAAAAGAGGAGGACATTAGAGAAATGTGATGAAAGGTAGGCCACATACTTCTGGCAATTTAAGGCCCAAATGTGATGTAGGAACAGAAGGAAAAACAAAATGAAGCTTCAGAAAGGAGAAGAAGGTTAGAGATCTTAGCCTAAAGAGAAGGGGTTTTTTAGGTCCCAAGCCAGAGAGACCTCCAGAGGAGTGATTAGCAGAGGAGGTGACCTTTGGCTGAAGGTTTCCAAATCAGGGTGAGGAGTGGTTGTACTATGTGTTTTGTTTCCCCTTGTAGTTCTACTAAATGTTCTTTCAGGCAGGTTAAGTGATAGAGAATTCTCTGCATTCTCTGTGGCTGATGACTGGTTCAGCTAGTAGAGGTGGTGATGAGGTAGACAGGAGGCATTTACTAGAGAAATGCCAGCTCTGTTTACTCTTTCAAGGAACATGTGCTCTGTGTCTTATTCCTACACTATATCCTAGCACAAGCTGGGTACACAGAAAGCCTCCTGAGAATACTTATTGGATTGAATCATATACATGTCCAACTGTCACATCTGATACTAGCCAAGAGGCCCTTCTTGGCCTGGGGAGATACTGTCCTGGGCCTCTTTGCCTCCTGGCTCTTACTTACTTGGTCGGCGATGACTGTATGGTGCTGATACATTCCAGGGTTAAGCTGCCAACGACAGAACTGGCCTCTCCAGCCACGAGTGATAGTGCCTCCCCCAATGCCACCTAAGGGACAACCTAGAGAGAGAATCAAGACTATAAATATTGGTTCCTCTAAAAACCTAGGGGATAGAACAGTGCAATATGTATAAGCTGGAAGTCTCTGCCTAACTCTGTAGACCTGGAGGTTGGGCCTTCTCTGAGTAGGGCGGAGCTGAAATGAGGCTCACCGTAGATCTGTCTCAAGGGTACACAATTTAACATGTCGATAAAAGGTGTCTTCTTTTCCACCTGGGTCTTCCGGTACCACCACCTTAAGTACCTGAGGAACAAGAGGCAGCATGAGTTGAAGGGTGTGGGAGGCCAGTTCCTGACAGGTTGCTGTGACCTCACATTAAATGTCCCAAGGACTTATCAAACCTCTACTCCTCTTGATTTCTCTACAGTTCAAGGTCTCTTCATCTTTCCAGTCACCTCAGCTCAAGTGTAGGACTTCCTTTATTTCTCCTCCTTATTCTCCTCAGAAGGGGTTTTCTGATCTGTCCTTACCTCTCTGAACTCTACCACCACTGCTTTAGTTCAAACCTCAGGAGCTTTTGTCTGAGGTGTTGAAGGGCCATTTACAGTTTCCTGGCCTACATCCTTCGCCACCCCCTCCCTACCTCCTGCCCCCCAAATAGACATAGTCTGCTGGGGATAACTTTCTTCTTTTAAGATGATTTTTCTCCATGATCATGAAAAGTGAAAATCTGGAGAATCACCAGGTAGAAAGGGAGAAAAATCATCCCATCCATAGACAACCAGTGTTCACATTTCGGGCATTCCACTTTAGTCTTTTTTTTAAGTTCAGCATCAAAATGTAAGCTTTCTGATTTTGCTCTCATAATATCCTAGTAAAGCCTTCTAAAAATCCCAGCATTGTCATAGTTTTGCTATAGTTCTGTATCCAATAGGCAACTGTTTCTGTTTTCAAGGCTCTGACATCAGTCCCAGCCTACCTTCTAATCTTATTTCCTACAAATTCGCATTCAGATGGGTTCTCACTAAGCAATCCCTCCCCTGCTGGACTCTTTCCTACTTCCACTATCCTCCCTACCCAAACACTTCATACCCATTGTTCAATCACACCACTTCTTTTTTTTTTTTTTTTTTGAGTTGGAGTCTCACTCTGTTGCCCAGACTGGAGTGCAGTGGCCACTCCCAGCCACCGCAGCCTTGACCTGCCGGGCTCCGGTGATCCTTCCATCTCAGCCTTCTAAGTAGCTGGAACCACAGGTGCGCGCTACCACGCCCGGCTAATTTTTTGTTTTATTATAGAGATGAGGTCTTGCCAAGTTGCCCAGGTGGGTCTCGAACCCGTGGGCTCAGGCAGTCCACTCACCTCAGCCTCCCAAAGGCATGGGATTACAGGCTGAGCCACCGACAATCACACCACTTCTAACCCCCTCTAACCAAGTAATTGGGTAAGCCCTTGAACCTTGGTTTTCTCATCTACAAAATGGGAATACCTCCTGTCCTAGCTACCTCATGGAATTGGTTGAAAGATCAAATGACATAAAAGATGAGAAAGCGATAAAGTGGGATATCCGTGTTAGGCATGATTATTACTTACTTGTACATACACTATCTCAATTCCTAATCAGACACTGCCTTGTTATTTCAATGTTTTTCATGTGAGGCTGACATATTTTTAAGTTCCTTGGGGAAAGGGCCAGTGACTAGTTGAATATTACCCTCAGCTCCAAACACAGGGTAGGGCACACGGTATACAGTCAATAAATATCTGCTAAATTTACAAATGAATGAGTGTACAAACGAAGGGGCATAAGAGAGATGGAAGACAGACTGGAGCAAGGGAGGAGAAATGTGATTCAAGAATATGGCCAGTATATCCTGGGAGTTGGGGGGAGAGGGAGGGAAGACAAAGGATGACGTGATAGAAAGACAGAGGATCCTCTCTGCCAGGCTAGAGAAAACTGGACTTTGAAACCAGAGGCCAGAAAGGATTGGTGGAGGGAGGGAGAGTGCAGCTGGGGATTAGGGCAGCCAGGGAGAAGAAATGCAAGATACAAGCATAGGCAGAACAAAGAACTATCTGGCATGGAACAAGCACTCAATAAATACTTCCTGAATGAATGGACTTTGGGTGGAAAGGAGAGCAATAAAAATTGAGTTCTAGCCAGGCTTGGTGGCTCAGCCTGTAATCCCACGCCTTTGGGAGGCTGAGGTGAGTGGATTGCCTAAGCCCGCGGGTTCGAGACCCACCTGGGCAGTGAGACCTCATCTCGACAATAAATCAAAAAATCAGCCAGGCGTGGTAGTGCATGCCTGTAATTCCGGCTACTTGGAAGGCTGAGGCGGAAGGATCGCGAA